TGTCCAAATCCGTGCTAAGCACAACATTATTTGATCTGTCTACGTAGATGAACTGTGGTTTAACAAGTCCATCGTATAACAGTCCCCAACTCGCTTCAAACATGCGATGCCCATTGGTTGAGTTCCACATGAAGAAAGCATCTTGACCAACATTTCGTATCATAGGGCTTGGGCTTCTTATGTCACTTTCTAAAAAAGACGAAAAAGATTAAGAATCATATTGGGATTGACAATTGCATTTTGTGTGTGTTTGCCAATTATTTCTTTTCTGAAAGTAAAGCTTGCAAGATTTTTTTTTTCCGTAGGTGAATTACTTGCTAGCCGAAATTTATCTTCAGATTCAGATTTAAAAGAAAATACACGACCCCAAAAAGGATAAGAAATCGAAGAGGCGAATCAAATAGGGAAATACGAGAAAATGACTTGTTTGCTGTGCTCCTCATGCATAAACTTCCGCTATGCCTTGACGCTATTTTAATTTAAACTTTACTTCTAGCTCGATCATTAGATGGTTACATGTATTTAATAAGTCAGGTAATTATATACCTCTGTTATATGTGGGTTATTTTTAACGGAATTTGACTTTAAAAAGGGAAACGTGAATGTACGTTCGTTATTTTAATTACAAAATTAGAGTAATATTAAGAACCAGCTATACTTATATGTAAAAATTGGTAGCATGATTAACTTATAACTTACCCACTAGAGGAAACGAAAACAGAACACAAAGAATGAGCAGTCTACGAATTAAAATACTTCGCATTTGGACAAAATTCAAGATAAATGTAATAAAAATGAAAGACAGCAATATGTTACAAATAGCAAGTTATGTTGCTTCTTATGTTGTTATGTCGATCATTGGCTGTGCGTGATTGACCTTTTTGCTTTATCACTTTATGCAGATTAGTTACTGGTAACGCAAAAATTACTAGTACGTAGGCTAAAAAACCTTTCGCTTGCTTTGAAAATTTGTGGCTTTGTGGCAAACAAATATGATATTGAAATATGAATACTAAAATATTTAAGTAAATAATCAGTTTATTCACTAATATTCGGTTGCGCATAAGGTTACCATAAATGTGCGCATATTGTCATTTATGGGAAGGGTTCGTACGTCGGCTTGCCCACCAAAATACCGGGTTACTCATAGATCAGAAATAATGTGCACACCAGGTTATCAATGTGAACGTTGTGAACACCGAGTAATCCATAGGAATAATGCACACACTGAATCATCCATGGGAAGGATGTGCTCATCGGGTATTCCGTAAAAATACCGGGCCGGATC